AATGACTCATAAACCACAAACAATAAGACTTACGAAGTTCTACCTAATTATTCAAATACGAAGGAGAACGTTGGAGTGTAAAATCTAAGTTCCCTAAAATATCCTGATATTTTCTCCATTTCAGCTAAATTATCCGTTTGRCAAAGAAGATTTAACTTTAATCGGTCTATTTTTCGACAGGATGCAATCGAATGCATGTGCGTTGTGTTGTATTGCCTTTGTCTAGAGAATGTTTAGGACGTGTTGGCTGAGTAGACAGTACTACTTTGTGTTGATGTACAACTTCAGGCTTATCTGACCTCCTTTGTTTGTGGATTGCATGTACATCACCTTTGCTCATGATTTTCAGTTGGCTCTCAGCCGATTCCTCCGCTTCAGCAAGTTCCTTTGCTCGTTGAAATGTTAGAGAATTACCTTCTTTCAGGCACTCCTTCCTGACACGGCTWGAGTTAATCATCAAGGATCTGTTTTCATACTTTTCAAGTCAGCATCTGCCCCATGTCCGGCTTCATCGTAAAATAAGAAATTCGTTTGGTATTGATAATGTAAGAGATGCATCCTAGTCCATGGTAGCTCGTAAAGTTGTTCAATATACATTCTCCAGGARGGACCGAGATAGATGTCTATTAAACGACACACAGGAGACTTTTAACCATACTTCTTTTGTATCCACAAAATATTTGGCTTCATCGTAAAACAACTTCCTCGATTCTTCTTCTGTCGACCACGTTAAAAGATCGTGCTGTCGTCTCCTACTTGATTGGTTCATTGTATTTCTCTCTCCTTATTGAGAGGTTATACACACAGATCTGTGTACACCAAGTGACAAGTTGTTGGTTGTRAAAGAATACAGTTGATTCTTTTCGTGACTTTCGACTTCATTGGCTTGTTGTTTGCTTGCCATCTTGCAGTACAACTGAGATCCTTGCTTGCGAAGTTTTCAGGGTAAAGTAAAAATTACAAAACCCGCGCTCTATGAATTGGATTGGTAAACAAAAGTAATGCCCAAACTTTTCTAACAATACGAAACATTCTACTAGTCATTTTATGGTGATGATTTRATAAATAATAAATGTGCTCGTCCTTTTGAAAACCAAGATGTGACGCTACTGGTAGTGATGGTAACGAGAAACGATAAGGAAACGYAACCATTAGTATTCATAAAATGAKATTTACGCTTGGTTGATTGCTGCACTTTGGTGTTTGTTCTTAAAAGAATTATRAAAGGATATTATCAAGAATTTGCTCAACACAAAACGCTAAAGTTATTAGCCAAATGGCTAAATTAACTGTCGTTTTTCGATGTCTCTTATCGAAATTCAAATTAACTACGACTGTTAATCAGTTTCCTCTTTTTCATGCCGAAGAAAACGATGACCGACTCTATGAAGACAGCCACACACATGGAATAAGTACATGTCTTGCTACATTAAATATTACTTCATACCGAATACAGACTTACTTGTACGAAGAAATAGTGTTCTCTTATTCTTCTCGTGTTTTTCGTTCCAACTTCTAAGATATTTCTAAAAGCAAATTTCCTCTACTGAGCACAAAAACACATTCCCGAATTCGGGGAATCCACCAAACAAGGGTTTAGTGATTTCTAAGAAAACGATTCTCATACTAAGCATGCGTACTGAATAACAAATTCGGGGAACCCCACGATCMAGGGTTTAGTGATTTCTAAGAAATCTTCAATCAAAAGATACTCATAATCTTGCGTGCAAGAGGACAGATCATCCCTTAAAGTAAAATGTTTACATCGCCAACTATTCCGGCCATGCGCCCGCGTACAAATGCAGCGGTGTCGCTTGAAAGTGTTAAGCGAGTTAAGTCAGATAAGTGTTAAGTCAGATTTTACAAAGAAATGTATAGAGAGTCAAGATAGTTTTCGATTTATAAATTTCTGTGTAAACAGTTATCCACTTGCCGGGGTAGAAGAACAATATATAACATTAAAGCATTTAATTTTTACMAAACATACTTTAATTTGTTTGGAAAAACCTTTTCGTCTCGATAGTTAGATTTTAACAGCCTTCTTGCCATATGTGCTTTGTTAAATTGCAAGAAAAACACAAAAGGTCAAATATTATAAACAGGATTTCTCAAAATCAGAACTAGTTACCTCATTTGCCGGGGTCGATCCTTAAAATACACACATTCTAAATTACTAATGTCGAATCTGTGGTCGATTRAACGAATTYATACTTTTCGWTTTTTACTTTCAAAAAGCTCCGATTTGAGACGAATATTTGTGAGATCCTTCTTCAAGAATAGGCACTTTGTGAAGCAAACACCATGAAAATTATTCGCAAAATACGGCATGTTTGGTACCAAAATAATGCTTGAATCCTCAGCTCTCGTTTGCCATCATTTGTAATAGGATACCTATTAAAGCACAGGAATACCGTAGCAAAAGGTTTTGTTTMTCTAAGTCCGGGCCTGAGAGAGCTTGGGCTTCCTGTGGTTTTTATTTTATACATGATATCCGCTGACTTGGCGAACGGCGCATGGCCGGAATAGTTGGCGATGATATATAAACCTAAAAGGATAACCCAGGTAATATTTGATATTAGAGAAAATATCTACTCAATCGCCATTTAATGCAAGTGTTGGTAAGAAGATTAATCGTGGAATTATATACAGGCAGTATAACCTGATAAAATGAGGCGTTTACAACTCTCGTTGAAGAAAACCAGAACATACCAGAACAGAAGATACCAGAACATAAAGGGCCTTATAATCATTGAATAGAGCTTTAAATTCCTGTAAAAGTCTTCCAAAAAGTCTCTTAAAAAGGGATATTCAAAGGGATCTTCAAAAATGAAAACTCAGTGGCCTCGTGGCCGCCTTCCGGCTCTGCTTGCTACGCATGCGTGCCACGGACCACAGAGAACCCACGAAYCCACAGGGACCCCAATGCAGTACCATGGCTCCCCAAAATGTAATCCTATGATAACATTTTCCCTGATAATAAAATAAACTATAACAATRTCAAAACAGTGTTCCATAGTTCGACTATATGTGTCCATAATCAATGTTCTTTAACTGTCTTGCTGCTTTGGCTCCACTGGCTCCTCGACGGGGAATCCCGCGGTCTTCCTGCGATTCAACAAGCAGCACGAGCTGGTTGACAGGTCTCTCGAGCTTGGATCCGCTTGGGGTCCTTACCGTAACTGATCGTACTTGGCCTTGATCGTCAGGATACACATCGTCGGCTCGTGCTAGCGACCACTTGTTTCTTGGGTACAGGACTTCCTTTAATAGAACTACGTCTCCTGCCTGGAAGTTTCTGCGTGGTCTGGTCCACTTATTTCTAGTTTAGAGTTGTTGCAAGTACTCCTTGCTCCATCTCTGCCAAARCTCTTGTGCTAAATGTTGAGTTCTTCTCCATTTTCTCTTGCAGTACAAGATSTTCTCGCTTGAACTTTCCGGATGGGGGCAAAATGAGCCTTGTCTTCCCGGTAAGTAACATACTTGGTGAAATGAGTGGTTCAGACAAAGGGTCGCTGAAGTTTCCACTGTTAAAGGTCTGTTGTTGACGSCGGCTTCTGCTTCACAGAGAAATGTTCTCAGTGTTCCTTCGTCGATGTTGGTACCGTGTTCTCTAATGATTCCCTTCATAACGTTCCTGATTGACTTAATCTGCCGTTCCCAGACACCTCCAAAGTTAATTAAGGAGGCTGGGTTCTTGATCCCCTCGATGTTAGCCTTCAGTAGTTCTGCCTTCACCTTCTGATTGTCAATTTCTTCGACAGCCCTTTTGAGTTCAGCTTCGGCGCCGACAAAGTTCGTTCCTCTGTCGCAGCGAATCTCTCGGATTGGTCCTCTTCTGCCGATGAACCYCCTCAATGCTTGTATGAATGAGTCCGTTTCTAGTGAGTCAGCTACCTCGATATGCACCGCACGACTTGCTAAGCATGTGAACAGTRCTCCGTATCTTTTCACCATGTTGACACAGTAAACCACACGATTCTAATGCATAAACTATCTTCAGATGGTGTTCGTGACAACGAACTCAAATGGTCTGACTCTTACTTGTCATCAAGATACATACAAACTACTTGTGGCTTAGAAGTATCACAGCCATTACCATGCAACATTGGTGTACCTCAAGGAAGTATCCTTGGGCCTCTTCTGTTCATCATCTACATCAGCGATCTTCCTGATGTTGTMCGCCATTCTCAAGTATCCCTATACGCTGATGATAGAGTCTTGTACTWTTTCTCCTCCTCAGTTCCTGACATAGAAKATAAGCTTAATGAAGATCTCAAGCTGGTTGGTGATAAGTGAGTCAGTTTAAGATCAATCATTTGACCCTGGATGCAACCAAAACTAAAGCCATGCTGTTTGGAAGCAAGAGAAAGACCAACAACTCCACCATCTCCATACAGGTCCACCTCAAAGACATCGAGAGAGTTCAAGAATTCAAGTACATTGGTGTGGTCTTTTCCAGCAATATGTCTTGGTCTGCTCATGTTGAAAAACAGATGACCAAAATCAAAAAACGCCTTGGTCTCCTGAAGCGAATCAAACATCTTTTKCCTAAATTCGCTAGACTCTTGTACTTCAACAGCTTGGTCCTACCGCTTTTTGATTATGGTGATATTGTTACATAATAATGATGTTGACTTTTCAGTAAAGAGCTGGTTTCGATATTCAACCTCCAAATTCTCTTTTTGCATATTATTGTCAAAATATCTTATTTCTCAGGACCTTCTTGAAAATCACATTTATTAGTGAAGAAACTTCCTGTTAAAATATGGAAATAAATATTCCTTTTTCGATTTGGTTGTTTTTATTTTATTGATTTATTGATTATTTTTTCAATATCTCATCTCATTTATTTCAAATAAATTAGGATCATCACCTGGAAACTACAGGTGACGATGGGAATTGATCAATTAATTTACACACTGACCAACTGCAGGTCGTTTGATTGAAAACAAAATCAAAGTTATATCTGGTGAATGACAGAACTTTGCTAAGATATTCAATTGTCTTATTTCAGCATTTTATTCTATTTTCACCTGTGTCAGACACACTGACCAACTGCGGGTCGTTTGATTGAAAACAAAATCAAAGTTATATCTAGTGAATGACAGAACTTCGCTAAGATATTCAATTGTCTTATTTCAACATTTTATTCTATTTTCACCTGTGTCAGGCGTCTTTTTTACTACGTTTAATGTCAATCACTGTCAATCTGACTTTCTCTGGCATACATTGAATCTGCTCTCTTGTTGTTTTTACATCGCACAGCTTTCACCTTTGGTAAATCCCGAATATCCATTCTTTCGTTTATCTTTTCGTCTGACATAGAATGCTTTACTCTCAGGTTACAAACCATGAACCTTTGTGTTGGACTGAATTTTTCGTTCTCAGATTCGTCACTGTAATCATCAATAATGATGCTTCGTACATTCCCTGCCTCATCTTGTTGTGGGGTGTTCTGTTCACAGTCTTTGTTGAAGCCAAACTTTTTCGCTGCTTTTTCTACTGTTTGTTTGATTTCTTGGAAAGAAGGTTGGCTAAACAGTGAGACAGACCAGCATTTGGATTCATCGATTGATATTCGTGAAGAGATCTCGTCATAAATCTCTCGCAGACTTCCAACACCATCTGAACAACTGATAGGAATATAAAACATTACCATTTGATTTTCTGAAATAACTGTAGGCTTTTATACGATTTCAATTTATATTTAATATTAAATTTGTTTAATTAGTTACTTAAAATATAAAATTAGGAAATGCATTTTCCATTTTGACGAAATTTTTATCAGTTCATATTTTCATCTCCTTTTTTTCTTAATATATTTCAGATTWTTAAATTATATCATATTCTTACCCTTGAACAGTTTGACCAACAAACTGGAACACCTTTCTGTAACACTCAGAGACTTTGTTGACCTTAAAAATCATATTAGAAAGCTGTTCGTAGGGCTTCAAAGATCCCTCCTTTAAAAAGTAAATCGACTGTCCATCTTTCTGGGTCCAGGCCAATTCGGGCATCTCTTCCTTATCGGCTCTGCTTATCACATAAGAGTAAAGCTCATCTAGTTCTGGGTGGACATTCTGTGGTACAATGGGGCTGACAAGATTAAGAACTTGACGGAGTTGATCCAGGAACTCGAAAGAATTAATGGTGTCCGTGAACTAAAAACAAGAGTATAATAAAAAGAATAATAATAATAATAATAATAACAATAATAATAATGAAAACTTTATTTTTAACATTTTTACAGCAATTGTAAATCTCTCTACTTAAAGGCAATTTACAATTGACTACTCGAATATGACTT